GTCAGCAGAAGGTCCAACAGGGAAGGTGCATGATCCTCCACATCTGGAATCCGCGTAGGCGAAGTAACCAGTTGTGTCAGACCATATGCCAAGGCAAAATCATGAACAGATCTCCCCGCATGATCGGTTAAACGTGAACCAAGCCATTCGGCGTGATGGGCGTTAAAGTCGCCGAGGATCACGATCTCTGCGGAGGGGATCTGCTGTAGCAACGAATCTACAGCCATTTGAACGTGGTCGAATAGTCGGTCTGTTCCGGCATTACCGCTATGGGACCTATAGAGGCACCCGTAGACGCGCGGATGGTCGTCGCTGTCCACGCGTAGCCAAAGGATGGACAGGTCCGAACCTTCAAGTCTGCCGAGGCGTCGAGAGCAGATGTCCTCTCTGACGTAAACGCAAACTCCAGCCCGAGGCACAAAGGAGTGTTCAGTTTGTACCCCGGGTAGGAGAGATACGAGACATCAGCCGGAGAGGACACCTGCGTCTCGGTCAGAAAGAGCAGAGCCGGCCTCGCCGTCTCGAGATGGTAGTGGACGGCGTTTAGGTTAGAGTGAAGTCCCCTGATATTGCAGAAATTCACGGACAGCGTGGCAGGGGTCGCCTTGGTCTTGTTGCTCCGTTTGCCCCGAGCAGTTGTAGTCTTGAGCGGAATTTTGCCCCCCCCCCCCCCAGAATACGCGGGGCAGCCTGAGCACCCACGCTCAGAAGTTGAGAAACATGGTCGTGGATGCTCAGCGAGGGATTCTCCAGGGGTGCTAGTACCCTCCTGGGGTAGTCGATCATTATTTAATTCCGCTACCATGTTGATGGGGGGGGGGGGATTTGGGCCTCCGGCCACCTGCACTCACCAGACGAAACGCGGAAGCAGAGCTTCCACTTCACGCCGGTAGAATACCGAGGTCGAACGAATAAGTGAGGTCGTGGTACCACCCCGGTTTGAGCCGGCCCATACGTGCAACAGCAAAGCTGCGGCGTGGCTCTACCACTGTTAAAAAATCTGTATCCTAAAGCACAGTCCTTAGCCACCTGATCCATCGACTTCTTAAATGTCTTTTCAGATCATCACTCCATCTAGTGGGGAAACGACCTACACCTCGCCTAGTGGTATGAAGCAGCGACTTAATAATTTTTCTTTCCCATAGGTTATCGGTTCATCGAGCTAATGGAAGACCCATTGCTACTTCAGAATCCGTTGCACTATGTCCGTAACTCTACTGCGGATCATTTTTAAGTCTATATATAGTCCTCTCCATAACTTACTGAGCGACCTTCAGCATCCCTCATACGGTCAGCAGCGATAGACCACGTCGCAGATCTATATATCATCACTGGCAACACGCACTGATTGTAAAATCTTGTATTCAAGTTTTATGAAATGTGTCGTAATCCACCGAACGCTGCCCAGCCGTGATGAAATTTTAATATTTTTATTTTATTCGGGAAAACTTACAGTAATTGCTTATTTTTAAATATAAAAAGTATAATAATGCAATATTAAGCTTTTTACAAATTTCCACTTTTAGAATTTCAAACCTGTTTAAAGATAAATCATATAGTTAACAATATCTTAAAGTTAAAAACGATATGTATTATGAATAATTTAAAATAAAGATTTTTAAGCAAAATATTCACTGGTATTTTGGCCACACCCGGGGAGGTATTAAATAGATCAACATAAAAGTAAGTGAGTTAATAATGAAATAATTACGTGTATAGTTCGTGTGAGCTCTGTTTATGTAAAGAAGTTTGTGTTTCCTTATAGTTGCTACTGTAATATTTAAAGTATCATCAGATAATAAATCCGGGGAGTACATTGAACCATTACAAATTTTTAGTTAAAAATACTTCATTAATATTACGTGGAACAGAGGAAGGAAGAAAATTACATCGTTTGCACCTCCCTTTATAGTCCCGAGAAATCGTATGCGCACTATAATCAAGTATTCGGAGCGTTTTTTTAAAAATTATTGGAGAGCCTTTCTAATCTCGCTCAGAATGACACTCGGAATATCATAGGAAATGTTTAAATTGAGACTTGCTCTAGAATGGTTACTCACGTTAACTTTAGTTTTAGTTGGTTTAGTTTAGTGATTCGGTGGTTATTATATTAATATAAGGTACGAAATCCCCGTCGGCATGCTTTACAACGTTGTTGACGCGAGACTTGGGGACGATAAATCCGACCTCTTTGGGGAATATGGTCGCCCCCCGGCGTAAGAAACAAGTTACCGGATTCGAGGATTACCGTGTCCTTTGCTTCTCTTCCGACCTCAGATAATCCTACAATATGCCCACGCAAATTGCCCATTGTTTCTTCTAGCTCCAGGATCTTATCGTCAGCTCAGGATGCGAGCGTTTAATGTTAATAGGCCGAGTTTTGTAGGTGGCAACTGAACCTCGACCGCAGATTCTTATTACCACCTACCCCGGCGTTACCATGATCGCCATCAAACTCAGGAATTGCGCAACTGGAGGTCGTTTTTTTGTATCTTTATCATAGGGGCTATAATGCCATAGTTGCAACGATCGGCGAGCGTGTTGTTTTTGGTTATTTTTTATGATGTATTCAGAAAGATGCTGCAGCCCATCTTCTTGCTTGGCTAATTTCCCTCTGTCGCCTTTTACGACACCCACGGGAATATGCGGTGTAGTGGATATTCTTAAAACACTACTACGCGGTAGACAATACACGTATGATAATAAATTATTTAACTTTATTCTAAGAAAAACTGCACCGAGCAATCGATTTAACCACAGTGTTCGTCACGATAATAGGAAACGCATTTACAAGGAGTAACTTTGTATCTTCTTTGACCCACTCTCGGCTAATTTCGATGAAATTAAAAATATAGGGCCGAAAATCGATCCAGCCAGGTTCCATTTTTGGGAAAATTTGTTTTCTCCATGTTTTCACGGACAAAGCAACAAGCTTGACTAGTCCGCACAGTATGATTGGTTATCTTGTCATAGAGGTAATCTTCGAAATTGCCTATGACTAGAGCGTATGGATAAGAATTGCAATTTATTACAATGTGGTCAGGTTTTTAATATTTTGTTCTTTATTATTTTAGCTCGTTTACAAGTATGAAGCATTTGGTTAACATCGCCCTCCTCGACCATTTTAAAGAAAATTGGAAACCTATACTTATGTTCACCACTACTTTCAGAAGATTATCAGTGGTTTCCTTACTAAATTTGTATCATGAAGTGATTAATATAAAGAAACGTTATTTAACAGAAGCTGCAGTGTTATTGTAGTACATGCACAATTTGTTTTATAAAAAAATTATGCCCAAAACCCTGTTCATTATGTACCATTTTACATCGTTGTGATGGTAGATACTAATTTCTAAATGTTAATACACATGATACACATATGTCGTATCAGGAAAATTTCTGAAGCTAGTTAGAGTTCCTGCAAACACACAAAATGTGCGTACGATGAATAATTACTCAAAGAATATCCAATTTTTAAAAGGAAACTTAGGGAGTCATTGCAATACAACATCGTGTAATTGAACTGTAAACATCGCATTGTATGATTCACGGTTATATTTTAGGAAATGAGGCGCCGCGATGTCATGCATTTAGATACAATAGAAGTTTCTGATGTAATTTTTAAAAGTTATGGGCACTATTAACAAGCATTTGCATATATCAATAATGGAATACCTTTGTCCCAGCACGGATGGATCCTATAAATTCAACACTGCTCGGGTCTGCAAATTACGGCCATTACCTAACAAAACATTAACTGTTTTGTTTCACCCGCGGCACCACTCGTGTTTAATTAAAGCCCAACGATATTTTTATTACCGAAATTATTTTAGCTAAAAGTTACAGAACACTCTGCTGCAATACAATTCTACAGATTATCGTTACCGTTACCGCCTATTAAAGTCCACTGCCGAACGTAGTCCTCTCCCATAGGTAGCCTCATAGGGGGGGGGGGATATTTGCCATAGTTGCAACGCTTGGCAAACGTGTTAGTAACCGCAGTTTTTTATTTCATACGTTATCAGGAAGATTCTATCGCTCATCCTCAGATTTGTTTCCCCCTGTCGACTCTTACGACACCCACGGGATGTTATAGGATAGTAGATATTCTTACACCGTCACTAACATTTCAAGATTTGTTTATCTCATGGAAAACGAGCAGATTTTGTTCCCTACAATCCACAAAATCTGCACGTTTTTAATGAACTGGAATAGGTAATATAATCCAGAATAAAGAGTTAATACAGCTTAGCTATAAAAATGAGAAAAAATTGGTTTGCAGGGTCAAACAATTTTTTTGCCATCCCTGGTACTTCCCGCTAATTTCAAATGCAAAGCACTCCAAATTTCACCAAATTATGTTGCGAAATCTCGAAGTTATATTAAAAAAAAAAAACGTTTTTTTTTAATTCGTTTTCGTTAGATATCTCACGAACACATGAAGTGTTCATGAGATATCGAAGGAGTACTTATTTTTAAATTCCAACTTTTATTCTCCAAACGGCATTCGACGTTATTTTTTGAGGTTAAAAGCTGATTAGTTTTTGAAATCGATTGGCAAAGCCGTTTAAAAGCAATTCCAAAAAACAGTTTTTCAAAATTTTTATTTTTGAGATTTCTCAAAATCTACTCGTCCGAATCAGTTCATATTACATACATCCGTACGGACATCCACGTGAAATTAGTCGGAATAGCTTCCTGGGATCTCAAAACGTCGAGATCTGATGAAAACTCGATTTTCGAAAATCGGGGTGAAACCAATAATTTCCCTATTTTTGAAAATTTTCGATTTTCTTAGCAGGAAGTTAAAAACGACGTCCAAAAATCTAGACTTCAAAGTTGCATCGTATTATGAGGATATATTGTTTTGATTTTAAATTGTTTGTGTTGACAAAATACCCTAACGATGACTGTCTCTCCCGGCTCTGTTATTCCCTGACTGCTAGAAGCTCATTCATGGCCATTCAAGTACAACAAATTGGAAAGGAAACTAAACTTACCAATAGCTCGAGAAACCGCAAGCTGACCATTCACTCGCCACGTGCCATAGTACATGACGGTTCCCCCCTGATGACTCTATTCTTTCTCTTTCGTCCTGCAACAAAACTTTATGTTACGAGATTTTATACGTGGTAGAACCGACTGGGGAAAGAGTACGCTCCCACAGAATACCAGAATAAAACAGGAACTTAATACTGCAATATTTCGTATGGTGAGTGTAGGTAGATTCCTTTTACTGGAAACGAGGCACATTCATTCTTAGTTTTCAGGGGTAACAACGCATTTGTATTTTGATTTTCAATAGAGGATAGATGTAGATTTCTGCCACAGCATCCACTTACCATCAGGTGGACTGTCTGTCACACTTACTCTATAAAAAATTGTTCAAACCTAAACCGAGAATATAAGTTGACAACTTGGTATTACTTTCCGGGACGACACTGTAGCTTATGATCTGGACCCCCAACTAGCACGTCACGTATATTGGCATCGATGCTCATCCGCAGCATTATATTAAGATGTAACTGCTTATTATTAGTTAGTGCATATTGTTTAAGATCTACAATCACCGAACTAGGGAGTATTTTTACTAATTATGAGGTATATAAGAGTATAAAAGGTAGACCCATGCTGCAGCTATATTAATTGTATAGTTGTAGCACGAATGGGTCGGCTCGACCGGGGAAGGACCACGCTCTCACAGAATACCAGCGTCAAATAGCAGCTTAATGCTGCTGTGTTTCGTATGGTGAGTGTAGAGATCCGGAGACCCTTTTTACTAGAAAAGAGGCATTCTATCTTAGTCCTCAAGGCTGACAACGCATCTTCATTTTGATTCGCAAACGAGGATATATGTAGATGTCTATGGGCCGCAGCAACCACCTACCATCAGGTGGACTGTGTGCTCGCTTGTCATCCTTTTCCTATAAAAAAAAAACATGAAAACCTTTTAAGTATCGAAGAATTTTAGTGCCCGTTTGTAATTTGAATTAATTTTATTAACACGCGCAAGGCAAAATAATTAATAATTCGTAAAATAATGGTCTTGTATCTTGTACAGACTTTACTGTATTTAATGGTAATACAGTATAGATTAAAAATTCTTATAGCCTCATAAAAATACATTTAGCATGTCTAATGGTTGTTGACAGTGGCTACATTTACACGTTATATTTAACAAATATTTTGGTGCTTCTCTCGAGCTATAATTTTACAACACGGTAAAAGTGCTATTAAAATTCTCATATAATTATTGTAAAGTTGTAGACTATATAGTAAAGTAAAGTAAAGTTACAGCCTATATACGTCCCACTGCTGGGCTCAGGCCTCCCCACATTTCTGAGAGGGTTTTAGGGCAAGGAAGTGTCCGCCGCGCTGCCCCAATGCGTGTTGGCGAACTTCACATGTCTTCGAAATATTTTTTTTCTTATTCCTCAGACATGCAGGTTTCCTCACGATGTTTTCCTTCACCGCCGAGCACGTGGTAAATCAGCACTTAAAATTGCAATTAACAATTTCATTGGTGCCGGCGGGGACTAAGTTGTACTATATAGTCCCCGCCGACTATATAGTGTCGGCGGGGACTATATAGTACAACTTAGTCTATTATTATAGCATACAGTATAATACTAAGTTGTACTATATAGTCCCCGCCGACTATATAGTACAACTTAGTATTATACTGTATGCTATATGCAATATTTATAACTCAATTAAAGCGCTTTTATCTTTGTTATTCTTCTTTTAGATTTTATAGTGTTAATAATTTAATTTAAAACTCGATTTCATATCCAACGCCTGTACAAAAACTATACAAACCCTTTTTTAACACGAAAGCCATTATCTTCACTATTAAACATCTATCACTCTGCTTTTAGATAGAAGAGATATAAGAATCTGTTATGTATAGAATAAGAAAGACACAATTATAACTGTTTAAGGAAGTTTGTATCCTTAAACAGGTGTCATACAGCAACAGAGGGATGAGTGTCTGCTTATATTGCTTTTACACAAGTAGCAAGGGTTACCATCAGGTAAACTCTATGCTTGTTTGTTACCCTTATTCTATAAAAAGAAAACGTATACTTGTTAAACAATATTATGTCCCCGTGTCACTAATTCTAGATTCCTATATTCCAATATACAATTCGCATTCCGATACGATTTATGTAACAGTAAAACAGTTTTAAAAACTATTACTTAGACGATTTAAAAAGAAACAACTTTAAGTTCATAAAATGTTGAACCAGTATTTTCTATGTAAATGGCTGTATTCAACCACTTTTTGTACTGTAAAGTAGGCAGTAAAAGAGAACGTAACGTTTATTAATAACAGTACAGTAGGTGGTCAGATAAGTTTCACTCAAAATTCAAATCGTATGGACGATAGGTGAAAAGAACCTATCGGTTCCAGATTTAGAGGTTTTAATTTTTGGCAATAAACTACATTACAACAATATACAATAAGCAACATACATTCTTATTAGAATACTTTTGGTCCATAAATATAGAACTTGTTAACTTTACTATAACGCCTATCGGACTCCAGCATAGCTATGGAATCGGTCAATCGTTAAGTCGTTTAAATGTTACACGAACACTAACAGACGACCACCAACCACGATTAAGGATAAAGACCGGCAGGTTTATTCGCGAAATTGATTTTGATTTCATTTCGGTTTTTTATTTCAAATTTAACTTATTTCGACGACCTTTTACCTAAATCGAGTGAAAATAAAGCGTTATCAGCGCCTTTATGCACATACAGATTATTTTTTATCCGGAGATCATCTTAAGTAAATTAAAATATCACATATTTTTTTAGAAAAAGCATTTTGGTTACTTGCTACTAAGAGGGCCATCTATCGGTAAACAGCTAAACTGCCGTTCTGATAATTCCAATTTGAAACGACATTCGACTGTGCGCTAACTGCGGTTTCGAGAGTACGAAATTACTTTAACTTCGAATAAAATTCCATTTACTCGGAACTCGATTCTGCCGAGAGTAGACCGACAGCATAACACTGTATCGCAGCCTGAATTTAAACATAAGTAGTAATGGGCATATGAAGCCTCTGGTGGCATTATTTACCTTAGATGGCGGTGTTGTGAGTAAGAATTATTAAATCACTTCGTCTTAAAAAGGGTGATATAATATTTACTAATTCACGTCTGCGGTTGCGCTGCCTTGTGCTCTTACCGCATTATTAATTTAAATTGCTTTAAGAAGTTTATAATAGCTTGAGCTTTTTGGCTATACACTATCACAAACACACAGTAACATCTACAACAACATAATTACACACACTATTACACACAATATTTAGGAATTAACGCCGTCTAGTAATTGTCACTACAAGCTTCTCGGTAAGTAAATTTAATTCCTCTAATTTAAAACACACGTATTTACCCGCGCAATCTAGTATTTAACGGCTACAAGATGAAATCTCGTGCACGGCTCGATTATTAGTGGCTAACTGAGGTTTTATTCGTGCTGATCGCAAGGTCCTAACCCGGTATATTTGTTGTTTGCCTTGCATCATTAAAACTTAAAATTACAGGTTCATTCGTCTATCAATTCCTTACGGCCCACGGGATATAATGCGGTAGTGGATTTTCTCACGCCACCACTACACGGCGGAGACTAGAGTTGTTAACAACGTCCAACTCATATAACGTTCGCTTAATAATCGCGTGTATTAGAGTAAGGAATGGTTCCAGTAAATCTGTGGAAAAGAATTCTAAGAAAGCCTAGTGATGGCTTTCTTAGAATTCTTTTCCACAGATTTACTGGATCAGATCACAGCTAGATACAAGTCTCTAACAAGTTGCCCCACTACGTCAGATCAACTTTACACATCCAATTGCAAGGACAGACAAAAGTCATACCAAAGTATAAAAGCGTTTTACTTCGTCATTTATAATGCGTAAAAGTTCAATAGCAACACAGCGGTTTGTCTACAGCCGTACCTATTTAAATAGGGTATTAATTTTACGATACTTTTACCGATTAATCGGAATTCACAAGATTATTTTAGTACTTTCCATAGTAGGCGCTTTCGGTAAAAACTCACTGTACGCGGTTAACCCGGGTTCTATTCTCAACGGTATCAAAGAAAATGGTAATTTCCATTTTTGGTGCTGATTCGCCACGTTTTCGGCGTTGAAAAACACATTTTGAGAAATTATTTTATATGAGAAAAAAATCGAAGACGTGAAGTCCGCTAATACGCATTGATGCAGCGCGATGGACACCTGGTTGCCCTAAAGCCCTCTTAGTAATTAGAAGAGACCTGTGCCCAGAAGTGGGATGTGTATAGTTGGAATTTTAATCCAAGATGTACGCTTAGCACGCTTACGCTTTTAAGACAATTACGCTGATCATTAAGGCATGCGGTTGATACATATGTACGTACAGTACCCCGGCCCTCCAAGGAAGAGTTGGAAATACAACCCAGTACACTGGCAAATGCAAATGACGTTATCAATTGACACTATATTGTACTGGCGTGCCGCCGTCATATTGCGTCGGATATCCGGCCACAATAAAACAATTTTTAATTGTGTGTGCGCTGAAGGAAGCATGCCAGACTTTGTTTTTATGTATTCAAATACAAAAAATTATAAAATAATTGCTGGTATCTCCATTAGGTATAATGATTTTTAGCACAAAATTTTTTGCACAAAATGACAAAATAATCGCCAATACTTTTCCAATATAGCGTAAATGTACGACGTCATATACTGTCCTACGTTTTGAAACGAATCACCAGTATAGCGTCGATACGTGACGTCATTTGCATTGGACAGTACACTGGGTTCTATTTTGGAACATACCCTTTAATTAGTGCTGATTATGGTCATTATTATAAACGCAAACTTGCTCAACTTTCGTTAAGACCATAATAAATATTTTTATGTTAATATGAAATTCACAATCAATGACTAGATTTTTTATAGCATTGGGTGACAAACGAGCACACACTCCCCCTGATGGTAAGCGGATTCTGTGGCCACATTTATCCTCAATTAATAATCTAAATGCAAATGCGTTTTCACCCCTGGGGACTAAGATGGAATACCTCGATTCCAGTAAAAAGGGTCTCCGGTTCTCTACACTCACAATATGAAACACAGCAGCATTATGCTGCTACTTTACGCTGGTATTCCGTGAGAGCGTAGTCCTGCCCCGGTTAAGCCGACCCATTCACGCATTCATATAACGCAGGCACTCACCTTCCTGCCGGAATAGTGCAGGTGTACGAGCTGCATGAGGCACATGCACTTAACGAGCAGCGCCAGCGAGTCGCCGGCCTAGGCCGCCAGTAGCACACACATACTGCAGCAGGCACTCACCTTTCCTGCTGGGCTTGTGCGGGTGTACGAGCTGCATGTGGCGCATACGCTTGACGAGCAGCACCAGCGAGTCGCAGGCCATGGCACCCAGCAGCACACACATACTACAGCAGGCACTCAACTTCTGTCGGGTTTGTGCGGGTGTACGAGCTGCATGAGGCGCATGCGCTTGACAAGCAGCGCCAGCGAGTCGCAGGCCCAGGCACCCAACTGCACACACATACTGCAGCAGGCACTCACCTTCCTGTCGGGCTTGTGCGGGTGTACGAGCTGCATGAGGCGCATGCGCTTGACGAGCAGCGCTAGCGAGTCGCAAGCCCAGGCACCCAGCAGCACACACATACTGCAGCAGGCAATCACCTTCCTGTCGGGCTTGTGTGGGTGTACGAGCTGCATTAGGCACATGCGCTTGACGAGCAGCGCCAGCGAGTCGCACGCCCAGGCACCCAGCACAGCAAACACATACTGCAGCAGGCACTCACCTTCCTCTCGGGCTTGTGCGGGTGTACGAGCTGCATGAGGCGCATGCGCTTGATGAGCAGTGCCAGCGAGTCGCAGGCCCAGGCACCCAGCAGCACACACATACTGCAGCAGGCACTCACCTTCCTGTCGGGCTTGTGCGGGTGTACGAGCTGCATGAGGCGCATGCGCTTGACGAGCAGCGCTAGCGAGTCGCAAGCCTAGGCACCTAGCAGCACACACATACTGCTGCAGGCAATCACCTTCCTGTCGGGCTTGTGCGGGTGTACGAGCTGCATGAGGTACATGCGCTTGATGAGCAGTGCCAGCGAGTCGCAGGCCCAGGAACCCAGCAGCACACACATACTGCAACAGGCACTCACCTTTTTGTCGGGCTTATGCGGGTGTACGAGCTGCATGAAGCGCATGCGCTTGACAAGCAGCGCCAGCGAGTCGCAGGCTAAGGCACCCAGCAGCAGACGCACACACTGCAGTAGGCACTCACCTTCCTGTCGGGCTTGTGCGGGTGTACGAGCTGCATGAGGCGCATGCGCTTGACGAGCAGCGCCAGCGAGTCGCAAGCCCAGGCACCCAGCAGCACACACATACTACAGCAGGCACTCACCTTTCTGTCGGGCTTGTGCGGGTGTACGAGCTGCATGAGGCGCATGCGCTTGACGAGCAGCGCTAGCGAGTCGCAAGCCCAGGCACCTAGCAGCACACACATACTGCAGCAGGCAATCACCTTCCTGTCGGGCTTGTGCGGGTGTACGAGCTGCATGAGGTACATGCGCTTGATGAGCAGTGCCAGCGAGTCGCAGGCCCAGGCACCCAGCAGCACACACATACTGCAACAGGCACTCACCTTTCTGTCGGGCTTATGCGGGTGTACGAGCTGCATGAAGCGCATGCGCTTGACAAGCAGCGCCAGCGAGTCGCAGGCTAAGGCACCCAGCAGCACACACACACTGCAGTAGGCAGTCACCTTCCTGTCGGGCTTGTGCGGGTGTACGAGCTGCATGAGGCGCATGCACTTGACGAGCAGCGCCAGCGAGTCGCAAGCCCAGGCACCCAGCAGCACACACATACTACAGCAGGCACTCACCTTTCTGTCGGGCTTGTGCGGGTGTACGAGCTGCATGAGGCGCATGCGCTTGACGAGCAGCGCTAGCGAGTCGCAAGCCCAGGCACCTAGCAGCACACACATACTGCAGCAGGCAATCACCTTCCTGTCGGGCTTGTGCGGGTGTACGAGCTGCATGAGGTACATGCGCTTGATGAGCAGTGCCAGCGAGTCGCAGGCCCAGGCACCCAGCAGCACACACATACTGCAGCAGGCACTCACCTTCCTGTCGGGCTTGTGCGGGTGTACGAGCTGCATGAGGCGCATGCGCTTGACGAGCAGCGCCAGTGAGTCGCCGGCCCAGGCCGCCAGCAGCCGCCGCGCGCGCACCGCCACCGCCACCGCCGTGCTGCCGCCGCGCGCGCGCTACAACACACATATACCAACATATACAATAGAGTATTACACCCTTAAATACATCATCGTACTTATACACCCTAAATAAATCGTAATGTGATTACGTCGGCGCTGTCGTCGCGCCACAAGCGAAACACATTGAAGCCTAAATCGCGCTATCAAAAGTGCGAAGTAAAAACAGTATATATAGAATAGCTCCCGAACTATCACACGGAGCGTTGTCCGCTCCCCGGACAGAACACCTTGCCAGGCGGGAGATTTTCCCTTTCCCAACACCGCCAAACTGGTGACTAAAGATGGGTCGTACTTGCAAAATCGAGTACCGGGGCTTTCAAGTACGTCCAGCTTCAATACCAGCGCCGAAAACCAGGGCTTGAGATGCTTTAAAGTATTTTCTTTCTGCATCGAAAATTGATCCGTACGATCATATGAATAAGGAGTGCAATAGCATATGTTAAAATAGTAAACTTTCAAGCCTTGTTGGAAGAAAATACTTGCATAAAACATTGATCAGGAACTATGTTCCAATTCCTAAGAGCAATGTTCCAATTTTCAAGTTAGAAGAAAAACACTTCCATAGAACATAACTTAATATAAATAAGAAGCAGAATCGCGTTTACAAAAAAAAAATACTTCCAATCCTTTAAAATAAATTTACCTTCATAGAAACATTAATCCATAACAATATATATAAGGAGAAGAATCGCGTCGAGTGTCGACAGAGCGAGAATATTCAATACTTTGAAGTCTTGCGAGTATTTTGGGTCGGCACTTGGTGGCGTACTTGCAAGTAAATACCTGGTATAAAAATCTGGTCGCGTAAATACGCACCTTCACTGCTGGTGACCACCCGACGTGATCTGAACATGCAACCAACAGCCTTCGGAAACTACAACTTCAAGCGGTCGTCATTATCCCCAACAAGAACTCCTACCAATTCACTCCTGAGAATCAATCGTCTTCATTTCCTGCAAGCCAGTCCAGTCTTCAGTTCCTGCAAGCCAGTCCAACGTGTCTTTATCTCAACTCACCGCAGATTTATAAGGCGGACTTCTGGCACTTGCTCCGGCACATCGTTTTCACCGGCATCACTTGTAAGTGCTTAGTACGGCATGCATTACACACCCGTATATCGTTCGCACCGGCATCACTTGCCCTTACGCACACAGCATGCATTCCCCACCGGCATTAAGGACGCACCGTCAATCGGACTGCACTATCGACATCCGGTCTTAGCAGGGGGTGATGTGGCGGCGCTGTCGTCGCGCCACACGCGAAGCCTAAATCGCGCTATCAAAGTTCCGAACTGTATATATAGAATGACTCCGAACTGTATATATAGAAAGAAGAAGAAAACTGTATATATAGAATGGCTCCGAACTATCACGCGGAGCGTTGGTCGCACCCTGGGCAGCACACCTTGCCCGGCGAGAGATCTCCTCTTTTCCCAACACCGCCAAATGATACTGATCCGCTATAATTTTTTTTAATTTTTTTAATTGAATAGTGCCAAATTACTTTTAATTTATCGTTTTAAATTTTCGCGCGAAAACGCTAGCCGCCATGCCGTTAAGCTCGTGACGTCACTGCCCTAGGATTGTGATAGGTATTGCAAGTCAAATTTTGTAATAGCATAGGTTAGCTTTGATATTGTAATTAATGATTGCTAATGATTGTAATCATATATAAACATAACTATGTATTATAAAAATACACTCTGACCTGCTATTGTGTAATTGTGTAATTGTATTGTTACGCGCCTAAGTTGACGTCAGGTACCTGGCACTAGCGCCATCTAGTGTCGGGGACCAGAGCGAGGAGGGCTTCCTAGAAAATGTCAATCTTGAACTTTCGACCAACAGCGCCATCTAGTATCGAACAGAAGAATTAAGCTTTCTAGAAGCCCCACACACAAACTTTCTGCGTCTGGTCGGTCGGCGCCCGTATTCACTGGAATATTCTGGATGTTTCGGTGTAAAAAGTGTATTTAAACCCGCTGCATGCCGCGATCGGGGCAGTATTGAATTTGGCGAGACAAGCGAAGCTTCGGAGCGAAATAAAGTGAATCAGTGTGATTAATTATTAGTGTTTTTAAGTTTTAATTGGTGTTCGGTGATTAAAGTGTTAATTTTGGTAATTCAATCGGCAGTTCTTATTGTCACGAACCCCAAGCTCGTAACAGTATAAACAAAAGTTAGTAATAGCAACTTACATTGATTTTTTAACATTGCTCAACTCGACAAAACAAAACTCTGGATTGCATGCAAAAAATTTTGCCACCATCAACATATTTATCCTTAGTAGATTAGTACTTTCTGCTTTTACGAATCCGTTTTCCATAATGCCTTTTCAATAAAATTCGGAATAAAACTCAACAATCGTAACAATTACTTAAAAATTTCGAAATAACACACACATCACATTAGGTTAGTTTACTTAACCAGTAAAGTCACGATGGAATCTAATAGGGCGGATAGCGTTTTGGAGATTTGAGGCACAGATAAAAAAATTCTTAAAATTGAAATAAAAATTTATAATGCAGAAATCAATATTTCTCGTTTACTTTTTACAAAACCTCCTCACCTCAGGTCCTCTCAGGTACCTCAGGACATAGTCAGTTCATTTTGCATAGATCGGACCATAAACAATAATTAAAAAAGCTGAAGGTACTCCGGGTTTAACAATGACATCGGGAAGTCAGTTACCACAGTCCCCCGTGACCATGGGTTGCAGCACCCGAAATGTCGGGAAATAAAAATAATTAAAAGTAAAATTAAACGCGATAAAATCCGTAAAAGTAGTTTCATTTCATATGTAATTTCTATATAATTATCAAAAAGTGTATCATTAATTTTATAAAAAGTTATTGACAGAACTTATGACCTAAGTTTTTTTTACATGGTGTAAAACACCCTATTCAATTACTCTTTAAAATATAATCATCAGATCATACTCTTCAAAATATCATCAATCATTGAAATACAGTTTGAAAATGAGGAAAACGGCAAAAATTGTCATGATATGGACGAATCATCTACGCAATAAGGCAGTTTCCAATCCACGAGACTGTATGTCAGAGCGAGCTCCTGGTGCAGAATCCTGGCTAGTGGATTGTGTCTGTGCAAGTACTCCAGACTAAGAAAGAGCCGAGCGACCGGAGATAGCATGCCTAAATGATTCACTGGGATGGCGACAAGCTCGACAAATGTCAACGGCGACAGCATTGTTGATCTTAATAACCTGATTCTGTATCGCACAGACAAAACCCTCGGTTTCCCCAAAGAGATCACCGAAGCGTAGCCAGTGAAGGAAGGTGATCGTATCTACGAAAGGCTCATGTAGAGCCTTGTAGAACCTCCAATGGTGCTCCTCCTTCCATACAGTCTCACGGTCGAAAATGCTATGTACTGTCGGGTCTTGCCATTACTCGTGTGCTAAGGATTGAGGGTAAGCCCATTACCACAAGAGATGACACCCTTATAGAATAGATCATCCGATCTAGTCAGGAAGTAATTACGGAGGCTGCACACAACGCGATTATGCATGGTGAGCGCACTTAAAAAGCCACGCCCACCATGCTTCCGCGGCAAGTACAACCTCATTACCGACGATCTCAGATGGTGCATACTATGGGACGTCATAATAGTGCAGACTTTTCTATCCAGAGCATTCCTAGCTTGACCTAACCGTATTTTATATTCCTGTGTCTTATTCATGCCTGACAAAAGGCTTTGGTCAAGCGTGCATAAAACACATTGCTTACTGATTGTTTCATGTCCGCCTCAACAATACCTATATTTAGTGACACACCTAGGTAAATTGATGGGCATAAATAAGTCTTTGCCCTCAGAGTTAACTACCCTACAGCCTACACCTTTCACACTTATCCGTCCCCCGCTCCATTCTAATAGAATTGCTAAAATCACAAGTTATCTTTAGCAATTCCTTATAGAAAAGATGGGTCACTTTTGTACTTCCTTTCCGAAGCTGAAATCCCCTCTCGGAGCCCTCCAGTAAGGTACTGAGAGGGTTCAGAGAGACAAAACCATATTGGACTCAAACCTGTACAGCTCGAGGACCCTCTTCCACCATGTATGAGGCACCGAGTCAAATGCCTTTTTGCACCAGTGAAGTTCTGACAGTTGCGTTTATCCACCTTGTCAATGAGGATTATAATTATTACTATTATCAAAAACAAAAACTAAGCAATACTTAATTTTATAGTATTCATGTCCAATGAGCTAACAGATCACGTGATGATATCACACGAAGAAGAGCACAAATTCGTGGCCATCCTCTGAAGACTAAGAAGATATCTTGAATTATGTAATTATACTGGTGCTATTGCCTTTCGGGCTGAAGCTCAATAGTGTTTGGCGACGTAACTTATACTAAAATTACTGTTGAAAACTGGTCAAATTTCATTAACAAAAAATTATGTTATTAAAAAATTACTCACGACTATGCATTTCCTCTTCATCGGCCTGTCAACAATCTATTGTTGCTGTGGATTGAAAACTCTAAATGGACATGTTTTACGAGGGAATTAATTGAAAATTGGCGATCGCTGTCTGGTACAGCGATCGCCAATCTATATATCAAAAAATGTCTCACAGCTTTGTTATGGCAAACCGTCGCCAGGGTATTTTAAAATTGGTTTAAATACAAAATCGGTTAAATATTGCCATTGTAATTTGATGAAGTGATGAGATGACTTCCGATTAGCAGCGGTATATCCACTCTGTTTACGCCGAATGTAAAATATTCAAACCGGGAACCGAGAACAAACATCTAAAGTGCGTACGTTTGATATTGAAATGCCAATAGTCTGGTCAAACGTGACGGTTATTGTTGAACGTCCCACAACGGGAAGGCCCAAGTCCCGCTGTGAACTTTTGCGGGCTAATTAAGATCAACAAGAAAAGGAATTTGCCGTTGTTACTATAGTAGGGATTGGATTGGAGTGCAGATTGAAACCCAGGTCATACAGATACTTTTAGAGGCTGAAAGGAAACCTAACAAATAGACAATTATGAGTGTACCGCTTGATATCTTTTCCGCACGAATTCAGCATCTGTTTTGAGGAAAGCGTCGTGCATGGCGCGACGCAAGTCAGTGCGAAAGTGCGGACTCTCCACTAGGTACTGATGAAGGTGCGCTGCGCAGTATGTCGCCGCGGCGGAGCCCGCGTGACCATCGTACACCGCGTAGAAACTCGTCGGCTCCGTTGTCTGCAAAAGTACACAACAATAATTACGAATGGCAACAGAAATTTATAATTATTTTACTTGCGAATTGGGTACACATCTATTTATCATCAAAGATAAATCATAAGCAAAGACAATGTCGATTTTATTATAAATTATCATATTAAAATAAATTAAATTAAATGCCCTATTATATGTTCAATGTTATTAAGCGAGACTGGCTGGCGGACGAGCTCCAGTAAAGTTGGTTATGATATATTTGGGAGGAAATGCCATAATGGAAATATAGCAAGAACAAGACAATATTTATTAGTATAAAAGGCCATCAATAAATAATAAATGTAATAGTTATGAAAGTAACGATATATGTGTGTATATTGATAAAAAACAACGCTGCATCTACATCTCTGTGGTTAACAATCACAATTTAAAGTCAGCGTTTATTGCTATCTAAGAGCGATTGTCCACCGTGTAAGTAGCGGTTGACGGCGGCGGTGGACAATCCCCCTAATGATAACCATAAGTCATAGACTTAGGATAGTAATATTTATTTATTTTTCTGATTTAACTGAATATGAGTTTCATAGATTTGGGTGTAATGAATTTAAACTTCATAATGTAAGTGAAGAATATGTTGCAAAGATTATTTTATCAATAAAATCAAATGCTCACGGTATTGATAAATTGAGTAGGGATATGATCATCTTAGCACTTCCGGCTACGTTAAAAGTGATTACAGCAATCATAAATAAGTCAATTGAATCATCTACTTTTCCTTCTTCGTGGAAAATAGCTCTCGTACGTCCTTTACCTAAAAACAATGATCCTAAGGATCTTAGAGACTTAAGACCAATAAGTATACTGCCGTTACTTTCTAAAATTTTAGAAAAAATTATATATAATCAAGTCATCAAGTTTTGTGATACTAACAATATTTTACCTGACTTACAGTAGGGTTTTAGAAAAGGTAGACGCACGTCTACTGCTTTACTTCACGTGGTTGACAATATTCTTACATCACAAGACTCCGGTAGAGGTACGATCCTTACCCTGCTTGATTTTTCAAGAGCATTTGATTCTATTAACATAGATTTGCTGCTGTCTAAGCTATCGTTTTATGGTTTCGGAACATCTTCCATAAAATGGTTTCAAAGTTACTTATGCGGTCGTTCACAACAAGTAATATTAAATCAACCGAATGGGTCTTCCCTTGTTTCTGAACAACGACCACTTAATAGAGGTGTCCCACAGGGTTCTATTTTAGGAACGTTGTTATTTATAATTTACACTGCTGATATAACTAATTGCATGCATTTTTGCAAATACCACCTTTATGCTGACTATCTACATATGTATCTTTCCTGCAATACGCTTGAATTTCATCCTACAATTAGTAACATCAATGAAGACCTGAATCGAATTGCAATATGGTCACAAAAAAATTACCTCGTTCTAAACCCACTAAAGACTAAGTATATGCTTTTAGGATCGAAAACCAAATAAATTTTTTAGAGAATCAAAACCCTAAAATCATGTCGTTAAATGTCCCTCTGGAGCGTGTAAGTGAAGCTCGTAACCTCGGCTTAGTTATGGATGGCAGACTGCGTTTTGAAAAACACTTACTTGAGCTTGTCCGCAACTGCTTTTATAGGTTAAAGGTTTTATATAGAATCCGCGAATATATTCAGCTGGACTTAAGGATTAGACTGTGTGAATATCTCGTTCTATCAAAATTAAACCACTGCATTGCAGTGTATGGACCCTGTATTTTGGAAAAGTCACAACGTCTAATTCAACGTATACAAAATACATGTGCACGATACTGCTTCTCAATACCGAAACGGCCTCATGTAACACCTTTTTTCAATGAAGCAGGCATTTTAAAAATGAAAGCGCGGAAACCACACCTAGCTAATGTACTGTTTGATGTTGTGAAAACTAAGTCGCTACTATATTTATATAGTAAACTTATATGGAGAAATCGATAAAACATCAGGTCTTGTACGAACCCACTTGCCAACCCCACTTACTGTTCTGCAGCTTTTAGAGGTAGTTTTAAATATATAGTTACTAGGTGCTGGAACGACATTCCTCCGCCTATTCGTGAGTGTAATTCAAAGTATAATTTTAAATCACACTATAAAAATCATTTATTACACTTACAAAAAGCTCAACCTTAAGCCTACAGCAGATGTTTATTCCAGCATCGTTGAGAATTATATGTGTGTTTTTAGTGTGTATTTACCAATATATATATATATACAACGTGTCCCAAAATTCAACGATAAGCCGACACCGGAGGATAGACCTGCCCCGGACTAATCGGGGAAAAAAAGAAAAAAAATATATCCCAATTATATTTTAAGTTATATAAAAAAAATGAAATTCTTCAGAAATTGAGACCGTTTATGATATTTTTCACTACCATGACCACAATTTTTTTAATATTTTTGTTTCTTTTTTTTATAGGCAACCTGAATAGCACTGCTATCTACCACAATTCTTAAAACATCCAGAATAACTCTTGTTTTATCACGAAAATTAATGAAACTTTTTTTATTCCCAAAATTTTTTGAAGACTTTTACTTTTAACCAAATTTAACTTACCGTGGTCTAAAAAAAAAGTATGAACACTAGTATGGCAAGTTTTTTTAAAAATTGACGCAACTAACCAACATTCCAAAATGGTATAATACTCTAGGAAAACAAGTTATAAAAAAATATGGGTCTATTATTTCTTAACAGGGGCCGAATTCCTTAAATTGTAATTGTCAGTAATCAATTTTACTACGAGTACATGCCTAAAATGGGTTCTTGTTACAATTTCTAGGAATTTTAATGGGGCATGCATACCTTAGATGTTAGAGAGAGATAGATAGATAGAGATATTTACGTTAAAAAGAGACAACAACAGGGCAGGTAGAGAAGCTGTTATTATTCTCAGCAAGTCAGTTCAGTACGCTCTGCTCCTTTGTTTACTGTGCACCGTTCCCAATTCAACTTACGTGGCTCTCGTACATACTATTTGACTATACTATAGACTTTTGGCTTGGCTTTTTGGACTGGAATCTACCTGCAAACTTAACTGGCCTGGCATTATTTGGACTTTTCGGGATTCCTGTAGCTTCTTCTATGGCACGTACCGAAGTAGTCGAATCATTTTCTATCTCATTGAGAACTTCTTCATCAGGATCCAATCTAGGTCTTCCAGCGCTTCTCCTATTGGATGGCATACGAACATCCGAAAACGCTTGATGCATATTAATAAACACTCGATAATCAGGATATCTTTGAGCATTTGGGTATCTTTTTCGATACAGTCTGCTAGCAGCGTTAGCATTACATCGGCATCCTCCATAGATTAAATGCATTTTAGCGTATTCCTGTGGTGTGTACGGTTGCGGCATGTGAAACGCCAAACAGTCCAAAATGCGCCAGAACTCTAAATCACAAAACACACAATCGTAGTCCAAGATAATGCCAGGTCAGTTCAGTTTGCAGATCACTTCCAGTCCAAATAATGCCAGGCCAGTTAAGTTTGCAGGTCGATTCCAGTCCAAAAGCCAAGCTAAAAGTCGATCGTATGTACGAGAGCCACGTAAGATGAATTGGGAACGGTGCGCAGTAAACAAAGGAGTAGAGCGTACTGAACTGACTTGCTGAGAATAATAACAGCTTCTCTACCTGCCCTGTTGTTCTCTTTTTAACGTAAATATCTCTATCTATCTATCTCTCTCTAACATCTAAGGTATGCATGCCCCATTAAAATTCTTAGAAATTGTAACAAAAACCCATTTTGGGCATGTAGTAAAAGTGATTACTGACAATTACAATTTAAGGAATTCGGCCCCTGTTAAGAAATAATAGACCCATATTTTTTTATAACTTGTTTTCCTAGAGTATTATACCATTTTGGAATGTTGGTTAGTTGCGTCAATTTTTAAAAAAACTTGCCATACTAGTGTTCATACTTTTTTTTTACACCACGATAAGTGAAATTTGGTTAAAAGTAAAAGTCTTCAAAAAGTTTAGGGAATAAAATAAGTTTCATTAATTTTCGTGATAAAACAAGAGTTATTCTGGATTTTTTAAGAATTGTGGTAGATAGCAGTGCAATTCAGGTTGCCTATAAAAAAAAAGAAACAAAAATATTTAAAAAAATTGTGGTCATGGTAGTGAAAAATATCATAAACGGTTTCAATTTCTGATGAATTTAATTTTTTTTTATATAACTTAAAATATAATTGGGATCTATTTTTTTTTCTTTTTTTCCCCGATTAGTCCGGGGCAGGTCTATCCTCCGGTGTCGGCTTATCGTTGAATTTTGGGACACGTTGTATATATATATATATATATATATATATATATATATATATGTGTGTATATATGTATGTATTTAAAAAATTTTATTCTTTCAATTTTATACTAAATTTATGTGTATAATATGTCTTCTACGTATGTGTGTATATCTCTAATGTACTTAGGTATATATAGGACTAAGTATATATTGATTAGCAACGTTTAGTTTTAATTTATTATGTAAACGTATTTCATAAAATACACCCAGGCGGATCGTGCGTGTATCTCGGGTTATGACAGAATCATCAGCGCTGTAGTTCATCATCATCATTACAGCCCTTCACAAGTCCACTGCTGAACATAGGCCTCCTCCAAGTAATGCCACAAAGCACGGTCCTGAGCCATCTGCATCCATCGACTTCCTGCATGTCTTACCAGGTCGTCACTCCATCTAGTGGGGGGTCGCCCTACACTACGCCTACCGGTACGAGGCTGCCACTCGAGAACCTTTCTTCCGGTTATCGGTTCTTCGAGCTATATGGCCGGCCCATTGCCACTTCAGCTTACTAATCCGTTGGGCTATGTCGGTCACTCTGGTTTTACTGCGGATATCCTCATTTCTGAGTCTATCACTCAGTGAAACTCCAAGCATAGCCCTCTCCATAGCTCGCTGAGCGACCTTGAGCGTCCTCATACGGCCAGCAGTGAAGGACCACGTCTCTGAT